TCTCTCTCTCTCTCTCTCTCTCTCTCTCTCTCTCTCTCTCTCTCTCTCTGATAGTAAGAAAAGGAACCTGAGGAACTCTTCAGTTTGTAAGGATTTAAGTTTAGAATTAAGTTTGGAAAACTTGTATGTGGGTACTCTCTAAAAAGAATTTGCAAGTGTTAGCCAATCATCTTAGTTTGTTGAAGACACATATTTCGCAGCTAAATGTAAGGAATTATTTATGAAGTTTAATAGAAAATGAAGTATGCTATATAAGTGTTTGGAAATAATACCACTTTTATTCACAAATTTGTAAACAGTAACACATCCATAGTGACTATATTATGGTTTCCCTTCACAGATACCAAGTTGTTCTAGTACAACCATATAAATAAATAATACCTGAAGTCTCAAAGTAACATGGACAATTAACAGTGATGACAGATAAATACAGACGCATGGGGATCAAATACTAGGTGAAACACTTTTTAAAAGGTAAGAAAATAATGTAATCTTAATTAAGGCCATTGAGGTTTAGTTAGAAGTAATTGACTGAAGTTTCTTTTTCAGTGTATCAGGCTTTAAGAAACACTCTGCAGGATCCTGTCTATCTTAATGCTGATAGAGCTCAGCTGTAAGTATCAGTTCTGTGAAGATAACAGTTGCAGGTGTTCTTGCCTGCTAGATATCCTAGTGGATAATATTTCTATAGTGAACTCTATTCAAATGTGGTTGATTAGAACTTGATAGAGCGCTGGAATGGCCACATTCCAGTATATTCAGAGATACACGTTAAGTTGTAGTTGCTCTTTGCTTTTGATGATTGCTACTACCATCACACACTGTAGAACATAATGTTTTGTCATGTTTGTGAAAGGCTTCAGAGTTTGGTACAAAGGAGTTGTCAGTTGGAGTCTGTTATTAAAAGAGTAGATTTTCAAGTCAAGGGTTACTTTTTGTAGGATCATGTTTTCACTGAGCTTCTCCCCATGTTAACTTAAGAACATTTCTTAATGTACTGTAGTATTAAATGATTATTAGACAATTTTCCCACCTTGTGCTTTTTAAAGCATTTCCAGGGCATGTTTGGGAGAGGTTGCATCTATAGATATTAGATATTATTAGCCCTTTTCTCTTTCTAGCTGCCTAGAGCAGTAACCTATTTTTACTAGACAATTAGTCTGCCTTGTAGTTACAAGATTTTGTAATTATATCAGTCTTTAAGTTGTAATGCTTCCCCCAGAATAGTATCACTATTATAATATCTAGTTTTTTGCTTATAATAAAGTGACAGTTTCCATCATAAACATCTGCTAGTCCTTTTCTTAGTCCTTTTCCTTATTTCCAGATGGGCACTTAATAGTAACCCATTTAGCCAGATTGTACATTCTTTTTTTTTGTTTGAGACTGAGTTTCGCTCTTGTTTCCCAGGCTGGAGTACAGTGGTGCAATCTTGGCTCACTGCAACCTCTGCCTCCCAGATTCAAGTAATTCTCATGTCTCAGCCTCCAGAGTAGCTAGGATTACAGGCACATGCCACCATGCCTGGCTAATTTTTGTATTTTTAGTAGAGATGGAGTTTTACCATGTTGGCCAGGCTAGTCTAGAACGCCTGACCTCAGGAGTTCGGGAGGCCTGCCTTGGCCTCCCAAAGTGCTGGGATTACAGGTGTGAGCCACTGCGCACAGCCTGTACATTCTTTGAAAAGGATATTGTAATTATTATAAAGTAAAAATTTAATTAGCCATACTGTTCTAATGTAATTAGATTAATTGAATTATCTGCCTAACTGGGTACAAAAACCGGAAAATCCTTGTTGTTTTGATCTTGTTAAAAATGTAGGCCGGGCGTGGTGGCTCACGCCTGTAATCCCAGCACTTTTTGAGGCCGAGGCAGGCAGATCACGAGATCAGGAGATTGAGACTTTCCTGGCTAACACGGTGAAACCTGGTCTCTACTGAAAGTCCAAAAAGTAGCCAGGCGTGGTGGCATGTGCCTGTAATCCCAGCTACTCAGGAGGCTGAGGCAGGAGAATTGCTTGAACCCAGGAGGCAGAGGATGCAGTGAGCTGAGATCACACCACTGCACTACAGCCTGGGCAACAGAGTGAGACTCTGTCTCAAAAGAAGAAAAAAAACCACACATACACTAAAAATAATAAAAATGTCCTTTTGTAATTGAATTTTGTAGCACTTTAATAAGCATCAAGGTTATCCTATAGGTATGATTTGGTTGATTATTTGTATGATTCTTTTATGCATAACCTAAATGGCTATGTATACTTGAAGCTGACAATTTGGAAAGTCATCTAGGACAAGAGTAAGAGATGATATTATAAATTCTCTTACGAGAAATGTTATCAAGGGCAATCTTTAGATCACCTCAAAAAAATACTGCCTTATAGCAGTGTCTAGAATAGAACTGAGTCACATTTGGGCTTGGTTCAAACTAATATTGAGTTGTAAGGATTTGGTATATTTCAGAATCTTTTTGGTTTGCTTTTGTTGATTTCTAAAAATCCTGTATCAGTTTCTTTGTGTCCTTGATACTAAGTTACCAAGAAGCACTAAAGATGTCACTATGAACAGATTCTGTACCTGTATTTCTTCTTATTATAGAAGGAGTAAATCTATTAGTAATAAGTTCATTTTCTTCTTTAATTCTTTTTTTTATTATTTTATTTTAAAGAAAGAAATTTAGGAGGTTCTAGTATTCTCCATGGCTGAAGCTGAGTGAGTCTGAAACCCTGATGCTTAAGCTCCATTCTAGATCATAGCTCCAACTCCTTCAGGAAATAAGGAAAAGAGATTGTATTTCCACAATGATAGATCTTTGGTTGTACAGGTAAGTTGCTTAGTTTTGCAGTAGTGAAGAAACTGTAGTTTGACATTTTTGGTTTTTTTTTAGTTGTGGACACTGTTATTTGTCCCTACATCTTCTGTGTGGCAAATTGTAGTTTGGCCAGCTGTTTATAGGAGTATGGAGCTGTAGGGAATGGGTTAGGAATGAAATATTTTCCATTCTTTTCTCAACAGGAGTATAAATGAAGTGACTGCTTATGTTGGAATTTTTTACTCAAGAGGCCATTGTGAAATTCCTTGACTTTCCTTTTCCTGATTGTCTTTTAAACTGCATTTTCATTTACTTTTGTCTGTCTGTCTGTTGCCTGCCTGCCTGCCTGCCTGCCTGCCTGCCTGTCTGCCTGTCTGCTTACCTATATACCTACTTGCTACCTACCTACCTACAGATCATCTATCATATATCAGTTTCTCTTAATGGGAAAGAAATAAGAAGTCTAAAAAGATAGTACATAATAGAGTTCCCAGACTTCAAAGAGGTGACTATTTAAGAATCTTAAGTTGAATTTCATGAGTGAGTTCCCAGGTTTTATTCTTCTACTTTTAACATCATAGATATGGTGTTAATTGGACAGCTGAAGTAATTTGTCATAAAATAATTATATGACAACATGGCCTCAATATTATTAAATAATTTATGTTCTAGACAACTAGAAAAAGAGTCATATTGGTTACATTTTCCAGTTGTTCTTGCTCTTTTTTCCTTTTCCTTTGGTTTGTCTACCTGATTATATACTAGTATCATGACCAGTTTCTTAGAAATTGTTCACTGAATAAAATAAATATTATGATAATAAATATCAACTAGAACATTGGTGTGATGGAAGACTGCCAGTTCCTCAATTCCCAAAACCAACTTTACTGCTTTGGTGATTATAGTAGGAACAAAAGCATATAGGCAAGGCCTTTGAAATATCTTTTTGAAATTTCTTGCTCTTAAGTAAATAGCTGGAGAAGTGTGTCATTAGGTGGGCCTTTTTTGTTTAATAATTATTACTCCTTTTAGTTCTAATTAATGCAGTTCTACAGGTATGATCACAGGAGCTGGAAATTTATGACCTGAAACATAGCTGATAATACTTCAGAGAGTGTTTTTCAGAATCATGTAGTTATATTTGGGTAACAGTAGATTCAAATTTATGGGAAGGCAATCCAGCAGCAAATAAGTGGGTAGGATATGAGAAATTACAGGTAGGATTGGGAACTTAATATGAATGGACAAGTTGAAATTTGGTTGACTAGCCCTTCTCAGATATATAGCCTCCAATAGGATGAGAATTTATGAAGGTGGAGAATAGAGGGAAGGAGTCTGGTTAATTCTAGTTACTGATCACATTCTCTTTTCTCTGTATTCTAGAAAGTACCACTATTCATTAGTTGGTAGATAACATATAGGAAAAACTCCAGTGTAGTTGTTAGTTAGATTGGGTTTTGCCCATATTAATTAATGGTTCCCCTTAATTCTAAAACTGGAATGTTTGCATTTCTAACTTCAAATGGATGCTCACTAAGGTTTTCAACATATATCTCTTATTTTGTTAGCAAGCAGGGGTATTTCCTGAGATGATTTGTAAATAAGTTCATTTTTATTCCTTAATATTTGACAGAAATATAATTTTGTACTCTTAAGCTTCTTTATTGTATTCTTAAGTAGCTTTTTGTGATACAGCTAAAATGAGGAAAACAACTGCTTTAGTCTGTAATATTTTGCTAAGCATGACAAAACAATGTTGAGACTTGGTTGAGATAATACAGACTTTTTATTTTTTATCTAAGAGATAGGGTCTTACAATTGTTCAGGAAGTTCTCAAATTCCTGGGCTCAAGTGGTCCTCCTGTCTCAGCCTCCTGAGTAGCTGTGACTGTAGGTGCCCCCACTTCCCTACCCCTGGCTAATCTAGACATTTGTGGTCTCTTTTTGTTAACTGAATTTTGCACTCAGTTTATTAGGTAACTATAGAAAGTATATGCTTTTATGTATACCTATCCAAAATTGAAAAGATACGAAGAAAAAGGTTAGAACAGAAAAAATATCATCAGAGGGAAGATTGGCAAAATTTTGTTTAACTCTAATCTTAATGGTTTTAATCAGTTTATTACCTCAAGTGCACATCACATGTTAATTTTAGGCAAGTTTTTTTTTTTTTTTTTTTTTTTTTTTTGAGACAGTCTTGCTCTGTCGCCAGATGCCAGGCTGGAGTGCAGTGGCATGATCTTGGCTCACTGCAGCCTCCGTCTCCCAGGTTCAAGCAATTCTCCTGCCTCAGCCTCCCGAGTAGCTGGGACTACAGGCGCACGCCACCACGCCCAGCTAATTTTTGTATTTTTAATAGAGATGGGGTTTCACCATGTTGGCCAGGATGGTCTCAATCTCTTGACCTCGTGATCCACCCACCTCGGACTCCCAAAGTGCTGGGATTACAGATGTGAGCCACCATACCTGGCCGGCAAGATTTTTTAATAGTCTTCCATTTGGTGCTTCCTTGGCCTTATTTATAAATTTTTTATTATTAGGATCCAATAAGGAATTAAAGGGTATCTGATTTAGTTTGAAACTTGATGACTATTATCTTATTAGAATTCTGTCTGAGTGCAGTAGCCTAAGGCAGTGCTTATTAAACCCTAACACATATATGAGTCACCTAGGAACCTGATTCACTGGTAGGTTTGGTGCAGGGCCTCATATTCTGCATTCCTAACAAGCTTCCAGGAGATGCCCATGATTGAGTTGTAAGAGTCTGAAGTACCACAGGGATCCTTGTTATAAAACAAGTTCTCTTTCAATACAACCTAATAGCACAGAATTTGAGAATCCTAAAACTAGGGCTTTGTTCTAGTTATTGAGTGAAATAAAAGCATTTTTAGGGCACAAAAGAAATGGAAAGAAGCTTAATCTTTTATATTAATTAGAATTTTCATATTTTCTTTAACTTTTGTATTCATCAGTGTTTTCATATTTTAATCAGTGGAATGGTGAAGAAATAAGATACTCCTCACTATAGGTGATTTATTTTTATTCTTATTTATTTAATTTTTTGAGACAGGGCCTCACTCCCATCACCCAGGCTGAAGGGCAGGCAGTCACATCACTGCAGCCTCGACTTCCCAGGCTCAGGTGATCCTCCCACTCAGCCTCCCTAGTAGCTGGGACTACAGGCATGTGCCACCACACCTGGATAATTTTTTTGTATTTTTAGTAGAGCCAGGGTTTTGCCATGTTGCCCAGGTTGGTCTCAAATTCCTGGGCTCAAGTGATCCACCCACCTTGGTTTCTCAAAGTGCTGGGATTACAGGCTTGAGCCACCATGCCCAGCTTATACATGATATTTTATGGTAAAAAAATATATGTATAAGAAACACGTTCTTAGTACTACTAATAATAGGTTCACTTCATCCAAAATAGTCTCTCTTTGAGAAGTTTGTACTTCGAGGCAGAGATTTTGCTGCCATTCAGATTTGTGTGGAAAGAAAAGGTCAATGAAGTCTTATTTGGAATCATTTAAGAGGTTTATATGCCCTTAATTGGGATTGCATTTTAAAAAGTAAAGATTAACAGATTCTTTTGTGTGTTTATAAAATACTACTATTGCCAGTATTATTTTTGAACCATAAATTATGAATATAATTAAATTTGCATTAAACATAATTGGTGTTAGATTTTATAGGCAGTTCATAAAATTAACTTACTCTTAGCTTTTTGTGCACTTACATACATATTTAATATCTAAAAATCAGTAATCTTCACATTTTAGAGTGCCAGATTTGGATACATGAAACAAATAAGTTGCTTTTCATATACCACAGTTTGTGTTCTTTTATTTTCATTTTGTTGAGATGGAGTCTTGCTCTGTCACCCAGGCTGTAGTGCAGTCATGCGATCTTGGCTGACTGCAACCTCCGCCTCCTGGGTTCAAGTGATTCCCCTGCCTCAGCCTCCTAAGTAGCTGGGATTACAGGCATGTGGCGCCATGCCTGGCTAGTTTTTGTATTTTTAGTAGAGACGGGGTTTTTTTCCCCACGTTGGCCAGGCTGGTCATGAACTCCTGACCTCAAGTGATCTGTCCGTCTTGGCCTCCTAAAATGTTTTGATTACAGGCGGGAGCCACTGCCCCCGGCCAGTTTGTGTTCTTTTAAAACATCATTTGAAGTTTAACTTAAATGTTTTATAATTAAAAGTGGAAAACTGTGGGACACTTAGTGTTTGTTACCCATGAAAAAAGCAGAAAGATTGTAACCTTAATGATAATATATTAGCAAATGAGAATTAAATGTCAGTGTTTCTTTTAATGAATCCCAAAAACAATAAAAGTTTACTACTGTAAGAAATGTGTTTCTAAGTTCTGATTGGAGTCTCGTATTTACTGTTCACTTGATTGCTATGAAATTCTCTAGAGTAAATAACCATGCTTTAATTCCAGGGCTAGTTTTGTGATTCTTAAAAGATTTTGAAAAATTGTTAATTAAAAATTTAAAAGTATGCCATACTCTAAGACAACACTAAAGTCAGCCAACTTAAACATTTTACAGGGCACTTTCTCACTTAATTTGCTTGTCATCAGGCAGGAACAGGGAGATAATTTCTTTTAGTGTTTCTTTTTTATATGTGGTAGCATGTTGCTGTGTCTTCTGTAATTCTTCCACCCTTTCCACTATTAAATACTTCTAATTGAAGCAAAGGAGGGATTGTGTTTGATTTTTAGGGGAGGGGTCAGATTGGCATTTGGAAGTTTATATGGGAAGGGAGACTGTTGATATCCAAAGGTAGGAGGAAGGGACTGTGAAACTTTGCACTGTAGCCACCGCTGGCCTCTTTGTCTAACTAATCATCCTGCATCTCATTCGAAGTTAGGCAATAAAATGACAGAGTATCTTGTGAAAACAAAACAGAAGAGGAGCAGGGGAATAGAGACTTAAAATGTTAATAGCTCCTTTATTCTGCTTGATGGGAGAGCCTCTGGAAAATATCACCAAGTCACTAGTTTACCCAAATGGATCAATCAAGGCATTTTTCTATATCATTTACATTTCTGTCATGTAAACCTCAAGCATCCACACTAGAAAACCTGCTCATCTCCCAAACCACACATTAAAACAGGCACTGGCAAACGCTATACACAGGAGTTAGAGAAGGAAAGGGTGAGATTGTATGAGTACTCGAGTTCTTAAATATAAGTATTTGCTTCAGAGGCTTCTTTCCCATTTTCTTTTCTGGTCTTTGGAACACTTCCTTTCACTTGCTAATTTAAGGCTTTATTTCTAGAGACTAGGAAGGCTTGGGTTTGCTTTGTTTTGTTCTTAGCCATTGTACGCTAGCATTGTGATTTTATCTATCTATTTTATTATGAAAAATTATACTGTAATCAAAATTTTTTGGATGCCAGATCATTAGTTATCAAGGGATTTGATCTGAAACTTATTTTGGTAAAAGTAGATTAAAAAGAGGAGGGCCTGCCTTTCTATATACCAGGAACATTTTGAAAGAACATGAGAAATGATTGGAATAGTTTTTGTAAGATAGCTGCTATGTAAGTTCAATATTATTATTTTAATAACCAAAATGAAATCACATCTTTGGGATGGATCTTTTCTAGGTACTTGTGCCTATCTGAGAGGCAGATACACAGTGAGGCAGGTATGGTCTGTAGAGCCCTGCCCTGACACTTAGTAGATTTGTGACTTTGGATCGATTCATGAGAATGTGCCTTAATCTTCTTTTTTTTTTTTTTGAGATGGAGTTTCGCTCGTGTTACCCAAGCTGGAGTGCAATGGCGTGATTTCACCGCAACCTCCTCCTCCTGGGTTCAAGCAATTCTCCTGCCTCAGCCTCCCGAGTAGCTGGGACTGTAGGTGCATGCCACCATGCCCAGCTAATTTTTGTATTTTTAGTAGAGACGGGGTTTCACCTTTTGACCAGGATGGTCTCGATCTCTTGACCTCGTGATCCACCCGCCTCGGCCTCCCAAAGTGCTGGGATTATAGGCTTGAGCCACCGCACCCAGCCTGTGTGCCTTAATCTTATTCGTGAAGTAGGGATGATGGTAGCACCTATCTGAGTTGTTGTGAGACTTAAGTGAGTTAATGTATGTAAGGCATATAGAAAGACTCATGGAACATATTAAGTGCTGTATATTTACTTATTAGTTGTAATTTATGTAATTATTGGAAATGTTAATAAAAGAATTTTTATCACATAATTTAATATTGGCAGTTATAAAGACAGTTATGTAGACCATAACATCCAAGTATACTTGGATTAAAAAGTTATAGCTTTATACTTTTGTTTTAGGTATATTAACTATTACCTTTTTCTCATTATTTTGTTTACATTTTTGAAGGTTTCCCAATGAGTGGATCATGATGACCGTATTGTAGGGACTTGCCATAGTATGGCTGCTTCCCGATCTACTCGTGTTACAAGATCAACAGTGGGGTTAAACGGCTTGGATGAATCTTTTTGTGGTAGAACTTTAAGGAATCGTAGCATTGCACATCCTGAAGAAATCTCTTCTCATTCTCAAGTGCGATCAAGATCACCAAAGAAGAGACCAGAGCCTGTGCCAATACAGAAAGGAAATAATAATGGGAGAACCACTGATTTAAAACAGCAGAATACCCGAGAATCATGGGTAAGCCCTAGGAAAAGAGGACTTTCTTCTTCAGAAAAGGATAACATAGAAAGGCAGGCTATAGAAAATTGTGAGAGAAGGCAAACAGAACCTGTTTCACCAGTTTTAAAAAGAATTAAGCGTTGTCTTAGATCTGAAGCACCAAACAGTTCAGAAGAAGATTCACCTATAAAATCAGACAAAGAGTCAGTAGAACAGAGGAGTACAGTAGTGGACAATGATGCAGATTTTCAAGAGACTAAACGAGCTTGTCGATGTCTTATACTGGATGATTGTGAGAAAAGGGAAATTAAAAAGGTGAATGTCAGTGAGGAAGGGCCACTTAATTCTGCAGTAGTTGAAGAAATCACAGGCTATTTGGCTGTCAATGGTGTTGATGACAGTGATTCAGCTGTTATAAACTGTGATGACTGTCAGCCTGACGGGAACACTAAACAAAATAGCATTGGTTCCTATGTGTTACAGGAAAAATCAGTAGCTGAAAATGGGGATTCGGATACCCAAACTTCAGTGTTCCTTGATAGTAGGAAGGAGGACAGTTATATAGACCATAACGTGCCTTGCACAAATTCACAAGTGCAGGTCAAGTTGGACCACAAAATAGTAACTGCCTGCCTGCCTGTGGAACATGTTAATCAGCTGACTACTGAGCCAGCTACAGGGCCCTTTTCTGAAACTCAGTCATCTTTAAGGGATTCTGAGGAGGAAGTAGATGTGGTGGGAGATAGTGGTGCCTCAAAAGAGCAGTGTAAAGGAAACAATAGCGACCTGGACCCAAGTCTTGAGAGTATGCCAGCCTCCAGAGAACCTGAACCATCTTCTGTTCTAGACTGTGTTTCAGCTCAAATGATGTCTTTATCAGAACCTCAAGAACATCGTTATACTCTGAGAACCTCACCACGAAGGGCAGCCCCTACCAGAGGTAGTCCCACTAAAAACAGTTCTCCTTACAGAGAAAACGGACAATTTGAGGAGAATAATCTTAGTCCCAATGAAACACATGCAACTCTTAGTGATAATGTAAGTCAATCTCCCACAAATCCTGGTGAAATTTCTCAAAATGAAAAAGGGATATGTTGTGACTCTCAAAATTATGGAAGTGAAGGACTAAGTAAACCACCCTCTGAGGCAAGACTCAATATTGGACATTTGCCATCTGCCAAAGAGAGTGCCAGTCAGCACATTACAGAAGAGGAAGATGATGATCCTGATGTTTATTACTTTGAATCAGATCATGTGGCACTGAAACACAACAAAGAGTATGTGTAAATATGGTAACCATGAATTCTGCTTTGTTTATTAGTCCCCACGTTTTTCAGTATCTATTCATAAATATCTATTCATAATGTTTTTATTACAGCTAAAATTAATGTTTTCACTATAATTTTAGGTTTAACATGATGATTTTTTTCAACTCTTAAAAAAGAAAAACTCCAAAAAAAGACTTAAATTCAACTTTACACATGTGTTCTATGATAACATGGTCTTTACAGTTCTGATCTTTCATGTCTCAATTAGAAAAGACACGGTTGGTAGTGTTTTTGTTTTTTAATATGTTTTATATCATTTTTAGTTGATTTATAAAATGGAAACATCTTGAGTTACCACAGTATGCTTTGATTTATAGTTCTAGATAGCGTAGAACAATTAACGAGTGCTTAGACATCATCCAGATATGTGAAGTCTGGCAGGCTTGACATCTTCTTTTATCTTAGTTACTTACATTTAATTCTCAATTAAAATTTTTTATTAAAAAATTTGCTTTATGCATTATCTTTGACTTTTCTGACTTAGAGAAGTTGATATTAGTATTAACAGTATATTGTAATTAGCATATTAGCAGGCGTCTACTGGATAGTTTACATAAAACATTTGACATAGCTTTTCCTGATACTAGATATAAAGGAAGACTGTATCTTAAAATATTACCAGCTCTGGCCAGGCACTGTGGCTCATGCCTGTAATCCCTGCACTTTGGGAGGCCAAGGCAGTTGGATCATGAGGTCAAGAGATCGAGACCATCCTGGCCAACATGGTGAAAACCTGTCTCTACTAAAAATACAAAAATTAGTTGGGCATGGTGGCACGCACCTGTGGTCCCAGCTACTCAGGAGGCTGAGGCGGAAGAATCACTTGAGCCCATGAGGTGGAGGTTGCAGTGAGCCGATATTGCGCCACTGCACTCCAGCCTGGTGACAGAGCAAGCCTCCGTCTCAAAAAAAAAAAAAAAATTACCAGCTCTAAACTTTTGCTAAGTCACTGTTGTGAATAAAGAATTCTGTATCCAAATTTTTCACAATATTGCTTAGATTTCCTATAAAGTATTTGGGGCCATAACACAAAGATTTGGAGTTTACTGTGTCTAGATAATCCTAAAGGAACTATAACCCACAGTGCTCACGATAAATATCATGATTAGCAACAATAAAAGACGTAGTAAGTTAATCAGCTTTACTCCTACAGGATAGGCTTTTGAATTAACATCACAATCAGATTATATAAACTGTATATAAATACTTTGATTAGAGGAACATTTCTGATGGTTTTGTTGTGACAATTGCCAGACCCTGGTATGTGTCAGATCGAAGTATCAAATCCTGGTTGTGGGACATAATATTTTTTTTGCCATGCGTTATCGACGGTTTAGATTTGTATATGGTAATACAGTGGTCTTTCAGCATAGGCCTCTTTTCCGAAAAATTTTCTTCTGCTCTCTTTTGAAATACTGTTTTAATATTGTAACTGATAGGTCAGATCATCTGAGCATTTTACAATTTTGTGAAAATGTTAGGAGTCTAGTGTATTTGGAATATTTGAAGTCCAATTTTAGATAGCAAATTAACTCATAAATGAAGTTTTTTTCTGTTAGAAATAAGTAGGGTTCTACTGTTCATATATACTGTCAGTTTTTTGTTTTGTTTTGTGTTAAAGATAGCATCTTGCTCTGTTGTCCAGGCTGGAGTACATTGGTGTAGTCATGACTCACTGCAACCTTGACTTCCCTGAGCTCAAGTAATCCTCCCATCTCAGCTTCCCAAGTAGCTGGGACTACAGGCACATGCCACCATGGCTGGCTAATTTTGTTTTGTATTTTGTAGACACAGGGTTTTGCCATGGTGCCCAGGCTGGTCTCAATCTCCTGGGCTCAATTGATCCTCCCACCTCAGCCTCCCAAAGTATTGAGTACAAACATGAGTCACTGCACTTGGCTTAGCATCAATTTTTAAAACTAGAGCTGTTTATCGGCTGGTGAAAGGAAGGAGAGCATGTGTCTTAGGAAAATACCAAAAACTAAAGAAATGTGAATTTCTATAAAATTATACTATGTTTGTTCTGTTTTTTGCTTTTTATTGTTTTGGTCTTGACTGGTTGTTGATTGTGGAAAATTTTTTTCTAGTAATTCACTACAGTATTACTTTTTGTAAGAGATTGCCTGGTAATAATTCTGAAGGATGATGTTCAGATAAAACAGTTATCTAAAGATATGTCCATAACATTGATATTCCACATTCATAACCCTTTCAGGATGAGAACAATATAGATTAATGGATGCTTTTATACATTTTATATAGTGTGCTTTTTTTTAAATTTTATTTTTATTTTTTGCAAGACAACCACCTATTCCAGGAAATAGTGTGCTTTTATATGTTTATTTTTTGTGGCTTCCTTAAGATACAGAGAGTCCTTTGGAGTTTGGATGCTAGTTTCTTTGTTAGGACAGTGTTCTCAAATTAATGCCTCATTGGGTGACTTTAGGCAAAAAAAAAAAAAAAAAAAAAATTACTGATTCTTGCTCTTTTGCCTTGCTCCTGATCTTTTGAAGGATAGCACATTTTGTTTTTGGAGACAGGGTCTTACTATATCACCCAGGCTGGAGTGCAGTGGCACAGTCACGGCTCACCACGGAATTGATTTCCCAGGCTTCGGTGAACCTCCTACCTCAGCCTCCTGAGTAGCTGGGACTACGGGTGCACGTCACCATGCCTGTCTAATTTTTTGTCATTTTAGTTGAGACGGGTACACCATGTTGTCCAGCAAATCTTGAACTCCTAGGCTCAAGCGATCTGCTTGCCTTGGGCTCCCAAAGTGCTGGGATTACAGGCATGAGCCACCGCACCCAGCCAGGATAGCACTTTTGAAACTTTATCTTTTTTCTTTTTTCTAGAGGAAGCAAAACAGAAGTGAGATGGAGTATCATGATTAGCATCTCAGTTACAGCTAATTTAAGGAAAATTGGGAGAGGGTGTTTTGATCATGTCAGATATAATCTCTTTCAGTAAAGTCTCTCTTTCCTCCCCCATATCTCCATTCCTGTGCTTTTTGTCTAGAGCCAAGAGATGGTTGGATATAATGTTGGTTCTTTTTACCCAAGTTGCCATTACTAAAAATGGCATCATGACACCTGTCTAGTGCTTTCAAGTCTCAAGTAAATTTCTGGCAGTTTAAAATGATGTTAAAAAGCACTTGGATTTTAAAAAAAGGTACTTGAAGGAGATGGTTTATTATCCTCCTGTACACACATGCGTACATACCTTGTCAAATGTTATTTCTCTTCCTTATTCTTCCTATGCTAGAAATGTTCTCCTGTTAATTACTTTTTGAAACTGAGATTTAGCATTGCCCAGCCTAAATGTGAATATCCCTAACAGTAGGGAATGAATACTTCCTGATAGCCAGTTTTAAAAGTAAGTTGTTAGTAGAAAATACTGAGCATGGCATCGTTCTTTGCCTAGAGCCAGGAGGACGTAATTGTGTTATTCCATTTGAAACTTTTCCTTTAAGCTAACAATGATCATGTGATCAATAGCCTTCTGTCTTAGTGTTCAGTTTATAATTTGTCTGTCTTGCATGCAAAGTTATCACATATATGATCTGATAACTTGTAAATGTTTGCAAAAGTAAAGTGTAGAGTCTTAGTCTTAGATGTGATGTACAGTAAATTAGGCAACAGATCAGGGAAACAGATTTGTGGATATTCTGAGCATTAGCTTGTTGCTTCTGTAGATGCCATCCCTCTTCTCTAGCTTCCACAATGTGCTTTATATATTTATTTTTCCAAATGGAGAACTTCACTGTGAGAAAGGGCCCAGAGAATATCTTTTTCTCTGGCAAGATTCTATCTGTGGATCATTTTATTAGACATGCCTTCTGAGAGATTAGGGGTAGAGGATCAAAAGAAATATTCTTTATCTGAAAGCTCTTTGGTCTTCAGAGTTGATACAGTCTGTTAAAGTGGTAGATAATACAATACCTAATAACTTCTTTTTTGGCTTAAATAGCCTCACTGAATGAGATTATTTACTTAACTGTGATTGCTCTTTCTGTCTGGGAATTGTTCTCTTGCTGATTTTTGAATCAGGAGCACTGAAACAGATCTCTAAATTTCAAAGATCTGGCTCTAGGAAGCACAAGTGTGGAAGAAGGTCTTAGGCTTTTATGTTCAGAGTGTTTCTTCCAATTCTACATGTAATCACTGGAAAATAAACTTCCAGATGAAACTGTGATTTGGTCAGCTACCTCTGAATTATCATTGTGCAACATTATTTAAATAAATTTATATTTGAAAGACCTTGGGTATCTTCATTTAAGCATCTTTTTGGTATTATAACATTTGAAAAGTCAAATTTAGGGATTCTAGATCCTTGAGATCTTACAAAGATTAACTCATTGATTACAGATTGCTAACATTTATACCAGTTCTTAAGTTTCTAGATACTGAACCTTTAAGATAGTTATTGCTTGTCTAAGAGTTGCACAGGTACTCTGCAGGTGAGAATATTATTTTCAAGCCACATCAAAGAGTATTTCTAAGAATTGTAGTTTTAAACTTGGTTTTTGGAAAACATTAATGAAAGTAAATAATTATATCTGTCCTCCTGTTTGCACCATGCTTATTTCATAATTGATTAAACAAACATTTGATATTTTCATCAATTTTAGAAGCTGCATAGAGAACATTTTAATCAGTTCTTGGAGATTCACTTCTTGAGAATCTACTTTTACTGTTGGTCAAAGTTATTTCTTCTGAGGGATCAGAAAAACTCTAGGATAGATCTTGCTTAAAAATCACTGGAGGAGTCATCCTGCCCTGAATAAGATAATTTTACATTTGTATTGTGCTTTGTAATTTGCAAAGAAATTTCATTAGTTTCTTATTTGACTATGGTGATGATTTGAAAGTCGACAGGATAGGTGGTATTATACAGTCCCCATTTCCTAACTCGTAGTTAAGATTTTCAGGTTATTAATTTTAAGTAAC